GTGTGTGTGTGTGTGTGTGTGTGTGTGTGTGTGTGTGTGTGTGTGTGTGTGTGTGTGTGTGTGTGTGTGTGTGTGTGTGTGTGTGTGTGTGTGTGTGTGTGTGTGTGTGTGTGTGTGTGTGTGTGTGTGTGTGTGTGTGTGTGAATGTGTTGGTTGAAGAAAGAAACCCGTGCTGTAACCGGCGTTGTTGTTTAGATGAAAAGCGTATTAACGCAATTCTGGTAGACGCTGGCTGTAACGACGCAGTAAGTAACGATGAGTGCAAACTCGAAACTCAAGCGACTCCGACGCTTAAAACCGGTCGCGAAATCACAGGAATAATTCCGCTTTTAATTTGTTGTTTCTCACTGACGATTTTCTGATGAAATGAACTTAAAGAGGCGGTTAAAATTTAGTTATGTTTTCAGGGTCTTAGGACACGATCGATTGAATTTCTTGAATTGGTTTCACGATTAGATAATGATTGGGTATTGATTTCCCTAGCGTCCAGGTTTGTAGTAAATAACGTGTTTCTGATTTTAACACATTCGTATTGACACGGCTATAATCATACAGATGTATCAATCATCAAATGTCATATTAGCCATAAAGATTGTATCTATATCTGAATTTCTCTCTATATATATGTGTACAATTTCACGCTTTACGGTTACTATGTGTCGTATACATTATTATTATATATATATTATGCATTTATATGTAAATAATTGTAATTTACTGTTGTGTTTCACACGGTGTTATAATGTAAATATTGTAAATAAGATAATTTTCGTATAAAAATAAACCCATGCGGTTGCTATTATACTGGTGAAATCACGTGTTCGTGTTAAATTATCTACGCTTATATAAACATTAGGCCTACTCGGGCGTGCAGTCTGCCTACAGCAAACATCAGCAATACATCATTTATACGAAATGATCCGACATCTTTGTAATTATGTATACAAGGAACAATTTACTTACATGACTAAAAAGATCTAGTAATTAATTTCGTGAAAGCTGTACGGTCGGGATTGTCGTACTACATTGTATAATTATACGAAGTAGACGTAGCAAAACAAAATAAAGAAAAACAGTTTTGTGAGAAAGTAGAATTAAATAAATTTTTATTATACAATGAAGTATAAATGGTAACTCTCTATTTGAAGTCGTGTTTATTACTAATATATTCATGCATGAACGCCACACGATAAGACGCGTGCAATTTGCACGCAAGGAAAATTCAAAACATGACCCATTGCATACGGGCGTACATACTAGCTTTAAAATGATTTCCAAATATGTTGTTCCACCTTGAGAACTATTAAAGTTCACGCAGTAAGAAATTGCTAACGGCTTGACGAAGATTACCATACAATACTAGAACCGCCGTGTCCGCTTGCGTGTTAAAACACTTAGTAACTCTGTGTAACAACCGATGCACACCTGAATGAACGCACACATAACTACTACAACCGTACACAAACGCGCGTACATCGCGCACACACGCGGACACACACACACACACACACACACACACACACACACACACACACACACACACACACACACACACACACACACACACACACACACACACACACACACACACACACACACACACACCACACGTACGAGCACGCGTGCATATATGCGCAGGCACATACGCGCGCGCTTATACGTAGAGAAATTTATTATTATCAGTTAAATTTATTATAGAATTATTGTATTTATTTATTTATTTTTTATATTTTTTATAATATACATGGCGCTTGATCAACGCCAAAGCTTCTACACGTAGACGGTGCATGTCTGACATAATTTGATTCTGGATGCAAGAGAAAAGTGGCTGCAGGGTTGACGCTATAGGCGTCACGAATGGTGTCTTTCGATACACGCAATACAATAAATGTCATACTAAGTATACAATTACAGCATTGGTAGCTAATAAAAGAACCGGTGGCATACTTAGCAGTTTTGCCGCGTAAACAACCACTGGTCGGCTGGCGCCACATGCACTTTAATAATGTGCGACACTCGTGTGCTGGATCAACCCCCGGCCTAGCTTATACCGGATGACGGATCACCGGATGTCTGCGCGCTGTCTGCCACCCAGGGAGGGCCAAGGCCCGCGCGCATGCGCACTGAACGAGATTTGATATCGCACCAGAATTTATAACTAATTAATAATTGTTTTTTTTATTTGCGATTAAATCTCAATAATTAGGCGACATTTTTCGTTTAGAGATTGGTGATTAAAATGAACGCAGATCCACATAAAAATAATCACGTACGCTCGCACGTACGCACGCACGCACGCGCGCACATATATATATAATTTTTAATTATATTATATATTTATTTTTGTTTATTTGTTTGTTTGTTTATTTATACGTATAATTATAATTATATAAATATATGAATGATTACATACGAACCCATACGCACTGGGATGCACTTGTGAACACGTAATAGGCGCACACGCGCACGCGCATGCAAACGTACACACAAACACTTAAGCGCTCTGTGCGGCTAGTTAAGACAAACAGTCTATAACAGCTGTATCAGTTACGAAGACCGCGGTCAGAATGACAAGTATACAGTTGCAGGACGGCGACTGCTGTCTCGCTCAAGGCTATATCGTCTGCATTACTCAATGCCGGATCAACCTGTGCAATCAGTCGCCCACTTCTCTCTTATCGTGGGCCGCTTTTGTGAATTTCACGCCTCTTCATGCACATACAATGGCGTCTGTCTGCGCGCTCTTGCCATGCTGGTTACCCGCTCTCCCTTTACCTACGCTGCTGCTGCTGTTTGCCGCTACTACTGCAGATGGGGTCGTTGTCGTATCAGGTACTACAGATATGTACCCGAGGTAGTTTTCGGTTGTTTAGTATTATGTTTATATTTTTATATGAGGTATGTTTAGGGTTAGGGTTAGGGTTAGGATTAGGGTTAGGGTTAGGGTTAGTGTTAGGGTTAGGGTACACTTCTATAGTACAAGTCTGGTACACTTTGTGTATACATATATGTACCTCGGGTACATATCTGTAGTACCTGATACGACAACGACCCCTTGAGCGCTACTACTGGTGATTCTGCTGCTGCGACAGATCTTGTTGTCGCGCTAAACAGCGCCCGAGCTGACTTTTATTGTACGTGGATGGCGGTTTTTATACTCATCTTTTAGGAGCGTGCGTCTTCTGCTATAGCTGTTATGTATCTCAACCTGTAGCATCTTGCGTTAGTTAGACTGATATGTATTTCATTTGTAGCTGCTTGCGTTACCAGTGCTGCCATGTACCTCAACTTCTAGCTTCTTAAGTTAGCTAGGCTACCATGTGAGTAAGTTATAGCAGCAGCATCTTTCGTTGGCTAGGCTGCTACGCGATTCAACTAGTAGCAGCTTGCCTCAGTAATCCCTCTGTGTCTAATCTAGTGGTTCCCAGGCGGCTTGCATTAACGAAGCTTCTACACATTGACGCATTTATTAGCATCTCACATGCCGCCTATAACCGACTGCTATACATGTTCCGCGTTCCCATGCTGTGATTTTACATCCCGTCGCTTCTTCGTCACGTGTCAGTTACTGCGTCACCTGGCAACCACGAGGAGGGCGGCAACAGTAGAACAGCACGCCGGTCGTAACCATATAGCGGTTGAGCTTAGAGAATTTATTTTACGTCGAAGTATAGGCACCTGAGGTAAGAATCGCGTTAGCATTACATGCATGCATTTATTACGCATGCCGTCGTAAGGCGCACGCAATTCATATAGATGTTACCCATGCACTATATAACAACCCCACATGTGCGCACCTACATACAGAATTGTTCTGTTTATGTGTATATATATATATATATATATCAGGAGTTAATAAAGACAAATTTGTCTTTATTAACTCCTGATATAATGCGTCTTGCATGTAACACTAAGTCTACCCAGTGCAGCACACAGACAGCGCCATACGCTCGCGCCGTTATCCTGCTGCTACGGTGTCGTATTGGGTATCGGCGTTCCCACGCCGCACGAGCATGGCTGCTGGCGGCGGCCACCGTCCAGCTGCTAGCCAGCGGTCTTATCCCCTTCCTGTGGCCCTGCAGCGGCCCTAATACCGGCGCTAGACGCAGATTACATAACATCGAAGTCGAACTGCGAACCTAAAATAGACTGCATTTCATATGTACATGCATAAATAGAAACGTGTGTGAAGACTGAAGATCCTAGTTACGGTGTATTCGCTATTATAGAACT